TTTTGCGATAAATAAAAGTAAAAGTTACATTCATCCATTAAAAGAAAAGAAAATGAAAATCATGTTTTGCAATAAAATTTGAAATTCTAATATTGTTAACTTTAAAATTAATTTTTTTTACTGAAATAAAGAGCGTTAAATTGAAATGTATTTAATTTTTCTAGTCCCGATCGCCCTATCTTAGGAAATCTCACTAGCTTCCTTTTGTTAAAAAAAAATGATCACTCTTTTTCTGTTAGAATAAGCGTTTTGGGTGAATAATATTAATATTAAAAAAAAAACATCGAATTAGGGTTCTCAGGGGCAAAAAGTTCGAACAACATATTAATCATGTCAGAGAGAAATAGATAAGTTGGGGGTTTGCTTTTGCTCATTTTTACTGAATCTTGTCTAGTTATTTCTGGCTTTGATTCACTTTGAAATTGTTCTTAAATTCATTTTGTTTAAAACATAGTTATAAATTTGTTTCATTTTTCATTTTTCCCCTAATTTATTCTTCTGAGAATTTTAGTAATTATTACCTAATTAGTAATCCTTCCAGATCACCATCCAGCGATTTCATGCAATTAGACGTTGATCAGAGCCAATGCCCTTTTACAAACCTACGACTTCTTTCTCTGTTATACCGCTAATATATTTATCTCCTTAATTCTGTAAGTATATGTTGTTGTATTGTGATAATTACCCACGAGTTATTCCCCTTGATCAGGAACTCTTTAGGACAAGATTTAAGAATTGGATTGAAACCACTTTTTAATCAATATGATAATAAAGATCTGTTGGCCGCGACACTTTCTCTTTGTTATAACCCCGTCCTGATAAAAATGCTACGCATGTAGTAAAGAAAACCGATTCTTTTATGTTTTTGTTTTTTAAATAAATCTATTTTGGAAAAATGAAAAAATTTAATTATTTCAATTGAACTACAAATATTTCGAAAATATTAAGGATGATTTCATTCATCACATGTTTTATTGTGATGATTTAGCGAAAGCAACGGAAAATTCGTTTTCTTTTTTTTCTTTTTTAGCTATGTGATAAGCAATAATGATAAAAATTACGATGCTAATATTAATTCCGCTTCGTTTAAGTTCGTTGCTGTTGTTTATCAACAACCATACCTCATAGAAAACTGGCTAAAGAAAGTTTGTTTGTCGTATTACCATGTTTTTAGCTCTCTTTTTTTAAGGAAAATATACGACAAAGTTCCCTAAGTGTTTTATTAAAATTCTTATAAAGCGTGTGTATCCGTACCGTAAAAAATGAGTAATATGAGCAATTTTGCAATTGCTTCGGTAATATTTCCTGTGTGATTAGCCCATTATCATCTGTATACTAACTCTATTACCGCAAATAAAATATAACATTTATTTCATTAAAAGTAGGAATATCCCACCCAAAAAAATTAACACGAAATATAACAACTTGATATCCTTACTTTGTAATGAAATATTCCGGTCTGTTTTTAACTCGCGGTATATTTATGCCGTTGTCGCATAATGCCTTCATTAAAAAACGGAATATCTCATTACTAAGAAAGGAGTGACAAGGTGTGTGTGTGATCGAGGTGTATATATATATATATATATATATATATATATATATATATATATATAAAAAGAGAGAAACCTTGACAACCCCCTGAAAGTCATGAAAACAAGCACACGCTAATATGTTATTGAGATGACGATTCTCGTTACAAAATAATAGACATCTACAAATATGCACATGATTATCATACCCACTGCACCCAAACACGTAATCCAAAATGACGCACCTATAACTAAGAAATAGATTTTTTAAACTCCTCCCATCATTAGAGACTAACCTACTTTAAATTTTCTGTCTCCACCACCTCGATTATTGTGATAACTGAATCTCTTTATTTCCTCGAAATTGATGCTAGTCGTTTGTATATCAACCACCGCCCAATTAGTGGACGATTTCATTTTACCGGCTGTGAATGGCTACGCCAGACTGACGGGATTTGTAGTACACGCTGCCGGGTCATTCTGACCGATAAAGTGCGTCCATCCTGTAATAGTACATCTCGCCCATTTCTTAAAGTGCTGTCAACATTCTATTACAGTACAAAAAAAACAACGGAAACGAAGTCGTCTAAACCACTCCCACTTAACTCGCAGACATTAATTGGACGTGCTACGAAAACAAGCGCGTGCGCGTACACACAGACACACACACACACAGCACGTGATTGATATCTTACAATTATGTGATGTATTGACTGTGACAGCTTGAATGAAGAAGAGAATACACTACCGATTTCCTAAGGGCCAGTCTTGTAAGTCAACATTTGAAATTACTTCTTTCATCTCGAAATAACTGACCCCACCTCCGACACGTATTACAAAGTTGCTACTATACCCGTCACCTATATAGGTAGAGAAGAAAATGAGCTAACCCAACTACTACTACTACTACTGTAAAACAGCTGCAGTAGTTTCAACAATGCCGTCATCGGATGATGTCCCAGTGGTCTGATATGATTTCGATATATTTAGAGATGCAGACAGAAATACAGGAAAACGATGAAGAGTAAGAAAAATAAATGCATATAGAAAGATTTAACCAGAGATTCGTAGCTCTGATCCAGCTTACTTATGCAGGTAAAGATTCGGACATATTACTTTGAGGATAGTTGTAAATTTACTGTCATATTTTTTTTTATACAAGGCTGTATTCTCTCTAATAAAATTAGTAGTTTTCTTTTTAATATTCACGCACTATATGGCTCAAGAACCACTCAAGGTAGAGGGTTACTGTGTGGTGTTGTATTAGTTGTAAGAAGTGAAATTCTTGTGGCTGAGCAGGAAAGATAACAGCTAACTCTAGACTTGAAGAGTTAAGATTTAATTAGTGAATAACATCTAAGAGTTCAATCGGAGATGTTGGGAGTATAGAGTTGAAGTAGACTGTAAAAGGAACCGAATCCTAAACAAGAAACAAGGGATAAACCTCTACTCTTGTTCAAAAGACCGGCGGGGAGTATAAATCAGGCGACAGGAAAAGCTATCTACTTTTATTGGGAGAGAATAAAAGAAAGAAATAATTAGTGAAGAAAATTTCTAAGTCCAGGTGGAGATGTTAGATGTATAGATTTGAACCAGGAAGGAGTGTGAACCGGACGATAAGCGAACCTACTTACTCCTATTGGAAGAGAAAAAAAATAAAATAATTAGAGAATAAAAATTCTGACTTCAATCGGAGATTTTAGAAGTAGAGTTGAAACTGACTCCAGAAGAAACCGGAAACCCAATAGTTAAAAATGTTTGTAAAATTTTCCAGATATATTTACATTATAAATATGCTATGCGAATATCAGCCTATAATATTACATTCTATGTGCTGTGTCCCTTCAGGACGTTGGTGATCATGGCTCTCAGCAATTTCCTAATCTTTGTAGCTCTCAATAATTTTTGTCTTTTTGTTATCTCTCTATATTTAAATTGCTGTAAGTGTAGCTGTTTGATTTCGCTATCTCGAATTTGCAATTGATGTTTAGTCCTTTCTTTTCGCTTTCCTTTACTGCCTTAGGGCCTCCTAATCAAACAAAGCCCGAATAGTGCTTTGGAACGAATATCTTCTAATGAAAAGATGTCTTCACATATTTTGAACACATATGTTCTAAGGCACATCAATTCTAATGACTCGTTCCCCTAAGGGACACAGGTTCGAATCCTGCCGGAGACCGCATATTTTTCTAACAAGATTTCTCGAATATCCAGGCTGGTAGAAGTAAATAAATAAATATACTGTTTAATAAATAAATAAAAATAGAGCACCGACTCAATTATGAGAAACCATTTAAAAAAATTAATGTTTCAACAAATAAATTATATATATATATATAATCATAGTATCGTTATTATTTTTCATTTCATATATATAAAGACAGTCGTTGGTCGTAAGGAAGATAAAATGTCAAGAAGGGAAACAATATATTGTAATGGAATGGGGCGAACATAACTTTGAAAATTACAAATAAATTGAATAGGGATCAAAGAACAATAAAAAAAAACAATTGAAATCCTTGGTGAGATAAGAATTAGAAATATACTATTGAGTGTTGTAATAGATTTGAGACAAATTAAAAGGGGAAATAAGCAAGAAATGTGAATTGACTAGCAACGAAATATCTGTGCTGGAAATGCAAACAAAAAAGCAAACAAAAAAAGATACAGTATATTTTTTTTTTTTTTTAAATTTCTTTAGCAAAACTATCCCCTTTAAACATACCAAAAAGAAATGTAATTTGAGCGAAGAAGTACATGAAATTTGATTTCTCAATATTAATTTGTAATGATGAATGTAGAGCTACATTGGCTGGATGAGAGGCTGGGTGCTTCATGAAAATAGCATGATTTGGAAAACAATAGAAGTAGTAGACTAATATTTGGGCTAGTATTGTCGGTAGTAAAATTACTGGTTCCTTCAAAGTTGGTATTACAAACAATGCAAGGAGTTAAGCTGGTCAGAACGTTTTTTTTTTTTTTTAGGCGGTGAGTAGGATTGGTTACAATGTAAGTCAATTTTATTTTTTTGCTTTTTTTAATACTTTTGACGGTTTCAGGCATCAAACTTTGTAAAAACGTTCTACACAATACCTAACTTATACAATACACACATATTTGAATTAAAATGAGTGAATTAATGTAAAGATATAGTAAAAATTCATAGTAAAAATATTGCATACAGCCAACAAGAGGAAATGATGATTCGTTTTCTACGGCTTATCAACTCTTTGCAAGTTATTTAATGCCAGAGAATATTTTAAGATTGTAAGAATTTTGGAGGAAGATAATGGTTTAGTTATATGAGTCTTACTAATTAGCCGATAGCTGGTGGAGCAGAAGTAGATTGATACGTTCCCGAGGGGTATTTGCGCGTAAGTGAATCTAACTAACCCAACGTGAACGGGAACTCTGTTCTCCGATTAACAATTCTTAGTCATTATCTATTACATCACCCGCATATCCAAGCTTACAGCACTTGATATTCCTAAGTGGTCACCCATCTAGGTACTGACCAGGCTCGACGTTGCTTAAATTCGGTGATCGTACCGGAACCATTGTTTCAACGTGATTTGGCCGTAAGCCCATGAACTTTGTACGATATTTGCAGGTAAAATATATCCAAAAATTAATACAATAATAAATTAAAATTTGCTTAAATGAATTTATTGTTGGGTAACTCCCACTTTCATTTGCATGGAAACGTTTTCACATTTGGAAACATTTTGAAAGTGTTTGTGTATGTGTAGCATTCCAAACAATGCGAGAATGAAGACAACAAAATCTAGTCTAATATAGTCACATCTAGTTTTTGATACTAATAAATAAAATGAAGTTTATTTGCAATTTTTATTTGAATGTAGAACTTTTTTTTACAAAGAACACAGTAGACAGTATTAAATGAGCAGGTAGTTTATGATTTGGGCGGGGGGGGTCATGTACCAAGGATGGACAATTACTCGCTTGACTGGCTACCAGGCGGTAGGAAAAGAGCCTAATGGACGGTGCAGAAGAACTATCATGACCCGAGAGCTAGTCTAGCGCAAGGTCTCAGAAGTAAAGACTAAACATTAACAGGAGCTATGACTAGTCGCGGACCCCAAAAGATAGTGGAGAGTTGTTGCTCAATGTCCTCCTCCATTCATCCGTTGATATAGTATAGTGACCACATTAGAAGAGTCAAAAAATCTGTCATAACAGAAATACTCCTTCTGCATATAAGGAATTACAGGAAATTAAATACTTTTTGAATATTCATACTGAGAATACAAAAACTTACTCTTTATAATGCCTTTCTCTGTTTTCAAAATCCATTCGTTTCTTCTCATCGGTCTTATACAATATTTTTACTATATCTTTACAATAAAATACTTATTTGTCCAAAATATGTATAGATAATGTTGATCAATGCAGGTTAGTATAGTAATTATTAAACAGTCTACTTTTCATTTTTAAGTACGGGTGTACGCGCACCGGTTGATCTACATTAGGCTCGATCTTGCCATATCGTGTCACCGTGGGGAGATGAATAACTACCCAGTTTTCATTTTTAAGACCTCGATTTTTAGATAATACTGAATTGATTTGGCATCAATACTTGAAAGAGAACTTAACTATCAAACCAATCCATAGAAAAGTAATACTGGATGACTCAACAGCCACTGAAGGCTCTTTGATACAGAATTTCTTTTTTTTTTTTTTTTTAGTCATTTCGCGTCAAGCAAGTTGATAATGACACAAGAATGCAAGGTTAGACGGAGTGAAAGAGAATGAGAAGAGTTTACAGAGGAGAGGTGAGGAAAAGAACGATAAAGGAACATGATTCAGAAAGACAAAAGATGGCGATTGACGTTGCATTTAAATTTTATAGATTGTAGGTGGCAGGGAAGAAAGAAATTGAAAAGGAGTTCGACAGGCGATTAGTGGGAGAAAACAAATTATTAAAATAGAACTGACGGTTGCGTCAAGCTAGTTCAACAGTAAAACGGTAAAACTTGGTTGCTAAACTAGTAGCATGCTTAAATTTGTGTAGTCGATGCCAAGTCAGATTCGATTACCTTACAGACCCTTTTTTGAAATTTGTCAAGAACCGCGAGATATATCGTAGGAGCACCAGGCAGCAATGTTCAATGCATGGATGAATTTATAAATTTATAGGTGGATTCTGACGGGAATTGTCTGGTACGACACAGTGAACTAGCTTTTCTAGCAGTAGATCTAGTAAGTAATTCAATATAATCACCCCATGTAATGGAAAACGTGAGTCCAAGAAGGCGCAAAGTGTTGCTTTCTTATGGTTTAGCATCAGCCATTCTGATGGCAGACAGAAAAGGTTCTCTGTAGTGAGCAATTGCCAGTTTTACTTTGTCGGATCTGTCGGCAGGAGTAAATAGTTGTTATCACCAGGAAAATCAAAAACAGCGTAGGCTGAGGATAGAGCCCTAAAGGACACCTGCCTTAATATGATATGAATTAAAAGCATGTCCATTCAACACTACCTTCATTACACGATTTGTTAGAAACGAATGGATGAGGCCAAATATTCATCCAGAGTCACCGTAGCCATTGAGCTTGCATGGGGTTCGTTCAAAGAATGATTACTATACATACAAAGAATATACAGTATGCATACATAAAAATATTTGTGTGTATGTATGTACATGTAAAATTAGGTATGTAATAAATATATATATATATATATATATAATAATAGGATATTTTTATAAATATTGTAAAATTCTAAAATTAAATGATAATGCTATTGCATTATCTCAAGTTCTTAAGGAAAGTTAAGTCAATATCTTTTTTAGTCTTCCAACACGTAAAAAGGAGTTCACTTTTTGAATAATAAGAATTATGAGTGGTGGGTATTTTAGATGCTTAGGTGGGGCATAGCCAAAAAATATTGGAAACCACCAAAAGGATAATTACATGAGTGTACTTAAGGAAGTATATTTTATATTTGTCATTACTGGACAAAAGCCTTTCTCAGATTTTTCCATGGTAATCATAATTGCATTATTTTGTCAATCTTTTATCTTTTCTTCTCCTGCAGTATTTACTACCTACTGACTACCTTTCAAGATGACATTTCCTTCATAGCTTAATGGATTGAGAGCTGGTTTGTAACATTCAATACCAAGTAGTAATATTTCATCACCAAGCAGACCTTGAATTTTTGCATGTCAGGGTTTTCTCAAAGAGGCTCCTTGGTTTAAATATCTACTGCAACTTTAGTTCACAACAGACTACAGTTAGAATTCATATATACGATCCATCGCTCTTGCCACGCTTACTTTACAAGAGTTAAATCAGACCAAAAATAGAATATTGCTGTCATATCTGGGATAGAGCGACCCAACCATCACTTTCCAGCCTTGACAAAGTTCAAAAGCGTCTACATAGCTTTGTGGGTGATTAATTATTTCCAACCCCTTTGCCACAGATGAAATGTCGCAAGCTTCTCGCTATTCTAACGTTATTATCATGGAAAATGTTGTGACTGACTCCATTCTTTAGTTCCGCCAGTTCAAATCTTTACAGCTAAGATCCGCCATGCCACATACACGTGGACGAATCATTCTCATTCCTTTCGTATTCCATTGGTAACAAGGAATTTATATTCCGATAACTTTTTTTTTTCTCAGAAATGTTACTTTGTGAAACAGGCTCCCGAGATTATGCTTACTGATCACAACAGTTTTAATGACTTCAAATCTAGGGTAAACGTTTATGTATCCTACATATCCTCATGATCTGCACTTACCTCTTTGTCCTTACGTCGATACAACAATCATTCAGCAAACCTCTAACTTGAGTAGCTCTTCGGACTTTTATTAGGTGAACTAATGTTAAAAAAACTCAAATGTATGAGATCGATACTAAAGTATATAATCTGAAACTTATTGGATGTAATTAATGGGGGCGAGTAAAAAATAAGAAAATGCATTACCACCTACAGATACACCTAGTAAAGCAAAAAAATAATTCCGGAATATATTTTCAAGGCATGCAATAAATTATTAGTCTTGCATCTTTTTATCTCACCCCTTTCCAATACTTATTTTATGTCTTTTTATAGTCGAATTATTGCAGTGCTGTTACAGCATTTACCGTATATACTCATATACAGCATATACCGTATATACTCATATACAGCATATACCGTATATACTCATATACAGCATATACCGTATATACTCATATACAACATATACCGTATATACTCATGTAAAGCATTTACCGTATATAATATACAGCATATACCGTATATACTCATATACCGTATATACTCATATTCAGCATATACCGTATATACTCATATACAGCATTTACCGTATATACTCATATACCGTATATACTCATATTCAGCATATACCGTATATACTCATATGCAGCATTTACCGTATATACTCATATACCGTATATACTCATATACAGCATTTACCATATATACTCATATACCGTATATACAGCATATACCGTATATACTCATATACCGTATATACTCATATACAGCATATACCGTATATACTCATATACCGTATATACTCATATTCTGCATATACCGTATATACTCATATACAGCATTTACCGTATATACTCATATACCGTATATACTCATATACAGCATTTACCGTATATACTCATATACAGCATATACCGTATATACTCATATACAGCATTTACCGTATATACTCATATACAGCATATACCGTATATACTCATATACAGCATATACCGTATATACTCATATACAGGATATACCGTATATACTCATATACCGTATATACTCATATACAGCATTTACCGTATATACTCATATACATCATATACTCTATATACTCATATACAGCATTTACCGTTTATACTCATATACAGCATATACCGTATATACTCATATACCGTATATACTCATATACAGCATATACCGTATATACTCATATACCGTATATACTCATATACAGCATTTACCGTATATACTCATATACAGCATATACCGTATATACTCATATACAGCATATACCGTATATATTCATATATGGTGCGAGCTTTTATGATTTTTTTTTACGAAAAAAATAGATAGCACTATACACAGCTAATTTTTGATGGAAGATGTTAAAAATTAAGTATTTTCAGTGACCGGTTGCACTATAAACTATAAAATTCATGCATAAAAATTTAGGGTCGCTCTATACATAAAGTCGATTAATGCACGAGTATGTATGGTGCTCTTAATAACTTTTATATAAACTTTCGTTAATTCTCTACTCTGGAGCTAATTTAAAAATCTTTGTAGTGTCAAATACCTCATCAGTTAACAAGGGCAAGTGTCGGTGGGGTTAACTGAGTCTCCTTTATGTGCCGTGTCCTATCGGGACGTAAGCGATCATGGCTCTCCACAACTTCCTGTCTTTTGTAGCTCTTAATAAATTTTATCATTGTTATTTCTCCTAAAGCACTCACTGCCATACAGGACAAATATCACGTAAAATGTTAGTACTCTTCTCCTTATTTCTAGCGAATGTTTTCTATTTCTTAGTACTTAGCTTTTGGAATGCATTTTTGGCTATCCCAAAAGT